GAATAACATTAACTTGAGGCAGTTGTGACTCATGGTGACTCTCCATTGGGTTTCCAAGGCTGTAATTCTTTACAAGAGGAGACTGCTCGTTTAATGGATCGCCTAGTGGATTCAGACCTTTACTTAACATCACAATACACAAAGACAAATACTGTCTCATTTACATGCACTAAGCATATAGATAACAAACCAGAATGGTAGCCAGGGCTGTTAAGGAGGGAAACAGGACTTTTTGCTATGGGGCACTGAGTTTCTTTTAATCGTTAAACAATTTGGAATAGGGAGCTCTGGTGACCTAGTGGATTGAGAATTGCACTGCCAACCCAAAGGCAGGTGGTTCAAATCCACCAGCAGCTCCATAGGAGAAAGATGGGCAGCCTCATCTCATGCATTTAACAGCCTCTGAAAAACCACTGGAGGATCCGCTCGGAATGGGTCCTGCTTTGATGACAATAAGTGAATGAGTGAGAATTTGGAAGAGGATAGTTGTAACGGTTGTACAAAATGGAGGAAGTCATCCAAGTCACTGAATTCCACCTATAGAACTTGTTGACTTAACCAATGTTTTGCTGTGTGGTATTTTTATCACAGTAACAGAAATATAACTAGAAGGGAAAGCATCTGGGAGGTTAGACTGTGGGTGTTCTTTATTTCAACAATTTTCTTTTGAACCTCTCTCAAATTTTAGGTGTTAAGTCCAACCTTTATAATGAGAGGAAATGCAGACAATTTAAACTCATAGGGTATAGTCTGCCTGAGATCAGAAGAGCTAGATTGTGCCCAGCTCTCACTGCTGACCACTCTAAAGAGGATCGCAGCAGAAGGTCCAGGGGAGAGTAGATGAAAAATGTGTAGCAAAGCTCAAAAACATAAACACAACCAGGTTTAGTGGTGGTGTAGAGAACTTAGGAACCCCAAGACTGTGACCCTTACTCACCCATCACACCTGGAGCATAACTTACCCCCGTGGCTCAAGTTTCAAACAATGGACAGGCCTCATAAGATGGTGAAGTAGCACCAGGGAGGCACTCACACCTTAGTGAACAGTCAACCACCTACGATCAGAAAGATAGCATTCACCCAGGGATAAAGCTTGGAATGCAGGAAGGGGTAGAAGAATTAATGGAAATGGGTTTCTACGAAGATGGTGCCAAAACCAAAAAAGGAAGCCCTTGCCCCTCTCAAAACTGAAGCCAAAGCATAGGCATTAAAGGCCGAGAAGGCAGTAAAAAAAAAAAAAGGAAGATCCACACGTCACCCACCTTCAGGCAGCCTAAGACACTGAGACTCCCAAGGCAGCCCAAATACCCCCAGAAGAGCGCCCCCAGGAGGAACAAGCTTGACCACTATGCCATCATCAAGTTTCCGCTGACCACTGAGTCAGCCATGAAGAAGATAAGAAGATAACAACACACTTGTGTTCATTGTGGATGTCAAGGCCAACAAGCACCAAATCAAACAAGCTGTAAAGCAGCTCTATGACACTGATGTGGCCAAGGTCAACACTTTGATTAGGCCTGATGGAGAGAAGGCCTATGTTCAGCTTGCTCCTGACGGAGATGCTTTGGATGTTGCCAACAAAATTGGGATCATCTAAACTGAGTCTAGCTGGCTAATACAAATTTTTCTCACAAAAAAAAAATTATTAATCAAAACAAGGATCACAGGGAAGCAGTGAGAACAATGTGGTTACATAGTGGATATTATTATAAATGTCATAAAACAAAATTTGTATGAATGGTTGAATGGAAAACCAATTAACTATGGAAAATTGTGTTCAGATCAAATTGTATACCATCAAGTCAGAACCGACTCATAGTGACCCTCTAAGCAGGTTTTCAGAGGCAGTATATCACACGAGAGGAGACTGCTCATCTTCCTCCCTCCCACAAAGCAACTGGTGGATTCAAATCATGTACCTTTGAGTTGGCAGCACAACTTCTTAGCACTAAAGCACAGTAGTTGTTGTTGTTGTGTACCGTTGAGTTGGAACAGACCCATAGCTGGCCCTCCAGAGGATATTCAGAGACAATTAATCACATGGGAGGAGATTGCCCAACCTTCTCCTGCAGAGCAGTTGGTGGCCTTGAACCGCATGCCTTTGGGATTGCAGCACGGTTTCTTGCCATTAGACCACTAGAGCGCTCTAAACCATAGTAGTAGTCATAGTAGTCGTAGTAGTAGTACTACTACTACGACTACTACTACTAGCCTGTAATCTAGTTGGGCCAATATTCTTAGAATTCCAGATCAAGGACTCAGTGCACAGTCACATTAGCCTCATGCCTTTTCCCTCACGTGAGTGCCTTCCTTCCTCACCTTATCTCTGAATATCAGCTCTTCAGGCCTCACCTCTGGGCCCATTGCCTCCTTGAGGTGCTCTTATCCTTATCCACCTCCCTCCTGTGCCAAACTTTACACTTGTTTGGGTTAGCTGAACAGCATTTGTCCATTCTTACTCATCCAGTCTTTTGTTGTTTGTTAATGTCTAATGTCTGTGAATGAGTGTGTGTGTGTGTGTGTGTGTGTGTGTAGTAAGAATAGATGTGTGTATTTGGTTGGGTTTAGTTTTCCCTTCTCAGGAGGGAAACTGATAATAATTTGAAGACAGAGTAAACCCCCAAATCTACTCTCCTCAAGTCAATTACAGCTCACTGCTTAGTTCTCTAGTGCTGCTGTAACAGAGATATTGTATATGAATGGCTTTGGCAGACAAAACCTTATTCTCCTACAGTATAGGAGACTAGAAGTACAAAATGAGGGCACAGGCTCTAGGGAAAGGCCCTCTCTGTTGGGTGGAGGAAAGCCCTTGCTTCCTTCAGTGTCTGTGGGCCAGGTGTCCTGGAGACCTCCACGTGTCCTGGCCTCCCCTGTGTCACAGGGATCCCTCTAGCAGATTGAGTCCAAAAGGACACACTTCACTCCAGGCAATTCGTCCTTAGTGGTACTGAAATCCACCCCTTCTGGGCTCACTTTTCTCCCATTTTATCTCTAGGTAGACAGGTTTCATCCAAGGGAGACCTCCCTTCTGTGATAGGATTGCAATATACCCTTTAATATTTTTGCAACTCTTTGGTTTTACCAGATCATGAGGGATCACTGCATAGCATCCACAATATATCATTACAGACATGGATCTTGAGGGGGGAACATAATTCAATCCATGATAAGCAACCCTGGGGCTTAAATAGAATTTCCCCATAGTTTTCTAAGGTTGTAAAACTTTCCTGAAGAGCTGTCTCCTCTTTCTCCCATTGAGTAACTATTAACTGCTACCTTTTTGGCTAGAAGCTGAATGGTTTAACCACTACTTCATCGGAGCTCTTTACAACAGAGTTAAGTGCTCAGTGACTTGGAATGGTCCTTCCATGACAATATACTTGGCAGCAGTATTCCAATTTAGACTAAGGAGCCCTGTCAGGGTAGTGTGTTAGGTATCAGTCTACTAACCAAAAGGTTGGTAGTTCAAATCCTTCAGCCCCTCCAAAGAAAAAAATAGTCACTTTATTCCCATCAAGATGGCTGCCTCCAACACCCATTGTCACAATGAGTTGGAATTGACTCAAAAACAGCAGGTTTGGTTTGAGGGAGGGGTTACTACCTGACAACCATTTGCCGTTCGCATTCTATTTCCCTAGTAGGAGTTTCATTTAGTTTCATCCAAGTGAGGAAACGGAAACTTAGGCCACATAACTTGCAGAGCTTGAAGTGGTCAGGCCTGTCTCAAAACAGGGTCCGAGCCCAGGGCCCCACCACCTCACCACAGATCGACCACTCTGCATGTGCTCTCTCTCTAACTACATGCTCTTAGTCAAATTGGCATAACCTCACCAACCTACATAACCTCATTTTCTTCATCTGTGAAATGGAGACAGTAATACTGACAGAGAAGTTATCAAGGTTTTGTTTTGTGTGGTTTTTTTTATTATTATTTTTGTGTGAGTGTACCGTCAAATCACATCTGACTGGTACAGGAAGAGATTGTCCCTCCTTCCCCGGCAGAGCATCTGGTGGATTCGAAGAAGTTATCAATGTTAATGTTAGTGTGGCTATAGTCTTTACAGAAGCATTTTGTGTTGTGAAGTACATTTTCTATTCTTAATGATCCCATGGAAGAATATTTGTTCCATAGAGTTTTCTAGACTCTGATTGTTACGAGAGCAGATCACCAGTGTTCTTTCTCCTAGAGCCACTAACGGGTTCAAACCACCAACCTTTCTGGTAGTAGCTGAGTGCTTCACCACTGTGCTGTCAGGGCTTCTTAAAGTATGCACAGTGTCCAACAGAGTTCCTAGATATAGAAGGCATTAAGTAAATGCCATCATTAGTGATAAAGAAGATCCTATGTCTATGTGACATAGACACAGTGGGTGCAAACATGAGCTCAAACCCAGCAACAATACTAAAGATGGTGCAGGACCAGGGAATGCTTCCTGATGTTGAACTTCGGCTCACTCCAAGAGCTGAGCTGACAGCATCTAGCAATACTATTATTGGATATTCTGTCTTTTTTATATAGGAGCCCGGGTGACTTAGGGGTTAAGTTCTTGGCTGTTAACTGAACAATCAGCAGTTCGAACCCACCAGCCGATCTGTGGGAGAAAGATAAGGCCTTCCACTTCTGGGAAGAATAGCCTTGGGAGCCCTCTGGGACAGTTCTGTCCTGTCCTACAGAGTAGCTGTGAGGTGGACTCAACTCAGTGGAATCTTCTTGTTAGTTCCTCTTTATAATGAGGGTTGGTGGCTTCATCTTGTTCTTCCCCCTGCACTGCAAGTGGCCTCGGTCAGACCTGCAGTTGGGTGTCACAGCTCTGATGTGGAGGTGAAGGTGATAATAACAAGCCTGCCCCGAGCTAAAACAAATAAGCAGCGCGGCTCTGTGTCACCCAGGGTTCGGATATCCTCGTCTGAACATCTGATAGGAAGAGGCTTGCGTTACAGCAGTGGCTGTTTTTGTTTGTCATCCAAGCCTGCTAATCTAAACATCTCTCGCCCTTCAGGAATTATTTTAGGACCAGGAAGCAGCACGCTGTTTATTGAAAGAGTCACAGAGGAGGATGAAGGCATCTATCGCTGCAAAGCCAGCAACCAGAAGGGTTCCGTGGAAAGTTCGGCATACCTCACCGTTCAAGGTAAACAGGGCTTTGAGGAAGCCACCAGAAACCGCCCAGACATTTCTTTCCCTATTTGTTTAACTTTCCACCTCCCAGTCTGCTGCTGTTCGCTCCAGCCTGTTCTTTCCCCTGACCCCATTCTCCCCTCTCCTGGCCCTTCGAGGAGGGGATTGTCTGGTTCTTTCTGGCAAGGCAGAAGGTCAAACTAGTTTCCAGAAGAAAGGAAGCCTAGCCTCTGGACATCTAGAGAACCAGTGAGTGGGCCACACCTCTAAGGGTTAAAGAGGAGAAAGATGAGTAGAGATCAGAGAGGGGGACACACTTGAACTTGACCATCTCTTTTCTCTTCCTGTTCCCAAGCCTTGGGCATATGCTCCTCTCTTGAATTTTTACTTAACCTGATTCCTAGCATGGATTAGGCTGCAAATCATTATCAGAGAGAAGCAACACACAGCACACAGCATACATTAAAGAAGAAAATATTCAAGTGCTCCCTCCTTCCTAGGCCCTGGAAGTTTGTTCAGCAGCAAAACACAGAAAGGCCTAATCTGACCCAGGCTTCAACCTTGTGGCTTCAATTTAGAAAATAGCCTAGATCTCAATCTCAATGCTCCAGTGCCAAGAACCACCCAACACATGACCTCACAGCAGTGTGGGCCTTCTTCACGCTGGTCCCTCTCAGGGGTCTGGATCAATGGCATGGGGGGGGGGTTTCCTGTGACATTGTGGAGCCTCTACAGGAACCTGTCTCCAGAGGCTCACCAGTCCACAGTAGACAGCCATGGGTTGGGGGGCTCAGAGCTAGGAGAACAGATAACACCCGTCACCTCTTTTGCCCTGGAAACTTCCGTGGCTTAAAGATCATAACTCTGAGAAGGAATTCAGACACGTCTTTTACAAGGAGGTGGAACTCTAAAACTACCCAACCACAAATTCATGCCTTCAGATAGTAGAAGAGGGTAAATGTGTTGTCTGCTGAGTTGATTCCAACTCATGGTGACCCTATCCTGTGGGGTGAAGCAGAGTTCTCAAGGGTGTAAAAATTTACAGACGTGGACTGCCTTGTCTTTCTCCATCGAGAGAACATTGTGAGCGCATACTCACTGCCAGAACTCTTTAGTGGGAGAAGGTAGCATTCCCAGAAAGCTTTTAGTTATGGACCTGTGTGCCTCCCAAGTTACCCATGATTTAAAATACTTTTTCAGCCCTTCTGCTCATGAGTGGAGAAAACTGTGTATTAAATATGACTAACCCCTCAAATGGTTGGTAATCTACCTTTTAATAAGGAGCCCAAGGAGCCCTTGTGGTGTAGTGATTAAAGAGCTCAGCTGCTAACCAAAAGGTCCACAGTTCAAACCCACCAGCTGCTCCGTGAGAGAAAGACGGAGCAGTCTGCTTTCAGAAACTTTTATAGCCTTGGAAACACTATGAGGCTGTTCTTTTCTCTGCTAAGCTGACAGTGGGAGATTTTATACCCAGATAATTGCTGACCTGAGGTGCAAATTGGACACAGACCAAGACCCCATTCCCATGGCAGCCTTCCCTGACCAGTCATCTGTCCCCACCCTTCAATAGTAGGAATATGGTTCAGCAATTGCTGGGCGACCTGAGGACTTGAGAGGAGCCTTGGTGTGGTGTTCTTATACCCGTCATCCATCAGGTTGATCAGGACACAGGTTTGTCCGGTTACTGAGGCTGTAACTCTTTGTTGAAGGAGACCACTCATCTTTCTCCTGAAGAGCAGCTGGTGGATTCAGTGTGCTGACCTTTGGGTTAGCAGCACAACAGACAACACACTCTCACCGGAGTGCCTTATGTCCTTCATAATTCTGACCAAGGAAGTCAGTTACTAAGTTGGTGGCCAGTTAGTGCAGTGTAGTTTCTCACTCTTGCCCCCCAGCAGTAAATCAATGTATTTCTTTCTTCTGACATCAAGTGTTTGGATTCTAAGTAGGTAAAAACGCTCTGAGACTTAATGAAGAAGAGGGCTTGGTGGTGCTCCTTTGTTGGGCTAGTGGTTCTAATTCACTAGCCACTCCACAGCAGAAAAGTGAGGTAGTCTGCGCCCATAAAGATTTTCAGCCTTGGTACCTGGATGGAATGCTGCTACAAGTCACACTCCACAGCAGCGGGGTTTGGGTTTAGTCCATATTGCATTGAAGACACATCCTGCATGCTAGGGGATCACAAAGGGAGAGATGATGTTGTGGCAGGATGTCAGGTTTAGAGAATGTGACTCAAAGGAGAACATGAGCTTCCAAGGAGGGGTGGGAGTGCTTCAAGGGAGAACAGACTGAGAAGGAAAGCTGTCCAGACAAAGGGGAAAATACGTGCAAAGGAATAGTAGTTAGGAGGAACACGGGACTTTCTGGGAATGACAAGTCATTTAGGAAAGAGAGAGGCAGGGAATCCAGGTGGGAGAAGTGAGATGACCAGAGAAGGAACAGAGGTGAGGACAGCAGTCAGAGCCACTGAAGGATGGATGCCAGCCGTGGAGTAAACATGTGGTAATAAGCTTAATGGTGAGTGATTAAGAGCTCTACTCCTAACCAAGAGGTGGCTGGTTTGAATCTACCCAAGCAGCTCCATGAGAGAAAGACCTGGTGATCTTCTGCAAATGCTACAGCCCAGGAAATCCCATTGGGCAGTTCTGTCAGAAGGGTGTTTATTAGGCAGCAACACCCAACAGTGATGGGTGTGGAGTCCAGTGATGGACGTGGGCCCTGTCTGTTGAATGCCCTGAAAACCTAGGAGGAAGATTAAGGAGGTCATAAAACAGAATGGTTTCATTACTATGTAGCACTTGCCCTAAAGGTGGCTTAGGAGCACTAGTGTGTGTAAGAGACTACACAGTGCTCACCACAACCAGATAAAAGTAAACAGTCCAATTGAAAAATGGGCACAGGATATGAACAGACACTTCACCAAAGAAGACATTCAGAGGGCCAACAAGCACATGAAGAAATGTTCAAAATCCCTAGCTCTAAATGAGATGCAAATTGAAACAACTATGAGATATCACCTCACTCCAGTAAGAATAGCAAAATTTAACAGAACAGCAAGCAACAAATTCTGGCAAGGTTGCAGAGAAACTGGAACACTTATTCACTGTGGTGACAGTGTAAAATTGTACAACCACTGTGGAAAGCTGTATGGCGCTTTATCAAAAAGTTGCAAATAGAAATACCATTTGACCCAGCAATTCCTCTACTGGGAATATACCCTAAAGAAACCGTAACTTTCACCCAAGTAGATATATGCACACCCATGTTTATCACAGCTTTGTTCACAATAGCAAAGAATTGGAAACAACTTAAGTGCTCATCAACAAATGAATGGATAGAGAAGATGTGGTATATTCACACAATGGAATACTACGCTGTATTGAAAAACAAGGAACTCATACAATATTCAGAATGGGTGACCCTACAAGACATTATGCTGAGTGAAATATCTCAGTCACAAAAGGACAAATACTGCATAGTGCCACTGTTGTAGACTGAGACTGGCATCAGGGTGAGGGTGAGACTGAGAAAAATTGGATAAATTATGTAGACTGCATTGAAATAGATGAAGGAGAGAACTGTTTGAAAGTGATATGTGATTGGGTATTATGGTCATGACAAGCGTCCAGAATGAAGGCTGCATAGTGGAGTGTATGGGGGGCCGGGGGGGACAGGGGCGGGGGTGGGATTGTATACCAGTGAAAGAATTTTTCTTTTACTTTTCAGAGTTGAGTGAACTGGGGGAGAGGGGTGGGCAGGGAGAAAAATGAAACAATGAATGAATGGAAATCCAAAATCTCTGTAAATGTTCATTAAAATTAATAAAATAAAATTTTTTAAAAAAGAGACTACACAGTGCTGCCAGCAGATAAGGAAAATGGACATGGAGAATGATGTCAGCAAAGCAGGCCTTGCTGGATGTCGACTGGCCAGGTGAAGGAGCAAGGGAAGAGACCATGAGTGATAAAGCAGCACTTGCTCGTCCACACGGATGTCTTTATCATCAACAACCAAGACTCCTTATTGTGAGGTGCTGTCTTGTCAGTTCTGACTCGTGGTGACCCCATTTGCAACAGACCATAACACTGCCACAGCTGGCTTCCCATCACAGCTTTGCCTCAACAGTGCCAAGTTATTCTTGATGGGGAGACCAGTGAGTCTTCTGGTGAATTGGCACTCCAGACTCATGGCCTTGTGTCCCTCGTGTAACATTCACCTTCAGTATTACTTAGTGGAATGTTCTAGTCTGCAAGGTGAATGAAGACACTTCGAATATATGACTTTTTCTTTTCACACATTATGGCGCCCAATTGCCATGCTTTTGAGTCTTATTCCCACTTGGGTTAGTGTTGCGGCCTTCTGCTTTATTCTTTTTCATCATATTTTTGGTTTGTTTGTTTAATGCTTTCAGAATAGTAGTTGGATCCAGCTGTTTCAAAAAGTATGGCTAACACTACCAATCACGCTTACCAGGATCACGTGGGAGGTGCTAGACAGAATAGGGGGAGGGGAATGTAGAACAAAGTCTAAAGTCACAGAAAAGATCAGACATGCTGCTCTGATAGGAACTGGTGGAACCACTGAGACTGTAGACCACAGACACCCTTCAGAAATGGAACCAAACCCACCTCTCACCTCTAGGGATCACTTTCAGCCAAATAATAGGCAGCGTATGAAGTGAACATGTATTACTCAACCACAGAAGACCAAAAGAGTGACATGTGCTCCAAGTCCAAGAAGACAGGAAGAGGCACGAAAGAGTCAAATGGAAACAGGAAACTCAGGGAGAAAATAGGAAGAGTGCTGTTACATTTGAGAGGGTTGCAACACATTTGTTACTAAGCAAAATGCATATGAATTGTTGACTGGAAAACCAATTTGCTCTGCAAATTTCCCCCCAAACCCCCAAAATTTCACCATTTAAAAAAGGATTGTAGTTAGATGAGAGGAAAAAACAACCACAACTCATCTGCAATAATCAAGCCACAGCTCACAGCTGCAATATTGTGCTCG